AATAAATGCCGTAAATTATCGTAACGTTTTGGACACAATTCTCGTGCCCTTCAGTCCTGTCCCAGTAGGTTGCAATAATAGTATTAGCTGTGTCTAAAAATGATGATAATTCTAATGGGTTGCCATCGAATTTTGGGATGATATCTAGCAGTTTTGCATCAAAACGAACGGGTGCTGGGGCAAGTGCCATAGTTTCTGAATTTAAAATTTTATTGTTTCGGGAATTAATTTGATCGTTATTCGAGACTAACTCTTTACTTAAATTTATTTGTATACTTTCGTCTACTGATAGCTCTTTTAATGAATCGGATAAAATCGATATTTGTAAATCTAAATCTACTTCCTGAAGAGATATATTAAAACTATTCACGCTTCTTGGACTTTCCTCGATGGAGTCTTCGGATAGCGAGGAGAATGACATAGACTGGTAAAATTTCGCTTTGGAATATAAAAGGAGAGCAACTTACAGGTACAATGTAGTTCTGCTTCCTGGAAACATCTAGTTGGAGTTGGCTAACGGTTGAACAGCGATTCTGGAACTTTCGACGTTGAGGTTCACTGAATAAACGGTAGAAACCGAAGGATTTTTCGCGATGAATGTCCTTTCAGTATCCTACTGACTGCGCCACTTTATAATTCCGAACTCCGAAAAAGTATTTTTAAAAATTTTATTTAATTTATTTAAGGAACAAAAACTAATGGTCTTAATCGAAACAAGTCTATATTCAATCTGAATTTACAATATTTGAATTAAGGTGAATAAAATGCATATTGTCCACTCAGCAATTGATCGTACATCGAACGATGACCATATATGGAATTGTTGTAATTGGAATCGCTACGTCCGCTCTAGCGCGTCACATAACTATATGCATTTCGAATATTTACAAGTACCCGTCGGTCTCGTATTTCGCGAAACTATTCAAGTTTTCAATCCAAGTTATCCGTAAATTGGGCGAGTCCTTTCAAACGGGCTGCATCAAAGGGATTTCCCCGTACGCTCGTGAAACGTGCATAAAGCATTGGATTATACAAAAGCGCCAGTTTCACATCATTTATTGCGTTTTAATAACGCCGAAGCTTCGACGCCATTCGGCTAACCTATACAAATTTCCTTCCCTCGTTTTTTTCTCTTTCTCGAGCAATTCTCGAAATCTATCGGGGTTCAACCGCTTTGACCGATGACGGTCCTTTTTAAAAAGTCCTTTTTCCGATTCGCAACGACAATTTAATCCGAGGACCTTCGTTAGACTTTGAATTCTCCGGGCTTCTTAATATTTTCCGAGAGCTTTTTCCGGATGTGCTGATTGTCGAATAATAATCCTTTGGAGGACCGGGCGTTACCGCTAAGTGTATTACTTTATTCGCTTATCACGCACTCTATTACGAATCGCGTTCGCTAAAATCTTTCGCTCTTTCGCCGGTAAATCCGGCGCCAAATTGAATGATAACGTCTGAGTTATATGCCCGAATTCGGTACTATAACTAACGTCTAATTACACGGGAATTTGTATGGAGGCGAGGCGATATCTAGCCGGTTTTTCTCCGCTCCCCCGGGAGCGACCTTGATTAATACCGGCTCCTGTTTCGGTTTACAGGGAATCGGGACGTTTTTGTCCGAGAAACGGGGCGTTACCTAACCGGCAAATGCTCGTTTAAAATTCAGGAAACGCCGGTTGTGCACGCAGATAACACGGATAGTTTTCGTGCACTTGTAGCTAGAAAACTTTACAAAAAAAACCTGATGCTTTATTTGATCAAAATCTACTATAATCCTGCAAGCGTACATGCCTGATAGAATGAATCCTCTATTGTTAAACTCGAATCGATGTTGCGTCAAACTGGTTAACATGCGAAATTATAGAATATAAAAGAATCGTATTATTCGGAATTAATTCGAAAACAAATCGCCGGCGGTTTGGGAATAGGAAAACAGGCGAATCCATTAATAATAGTCGTTGTTTCTGCGTTATATCGAATTCGTTCGTAGAGCCTATTCAACAACATTCAATAAAATACGACCGGTCGGACTAAAACCCTAATTCGACAATGGTCCCGCATTGTCTGCGACCGGTTAAGTGACCAATCTGTATGCAGGTCAGTTAATTTGTTGTCATCTGTCCGAATCGAAATAAATGTTACATTCTCCAGTGCAAACATGCAGTACAGCCGGACACAAAGCGAAATAAAAACATAAACATATACAGGGTAAGTTACCCTCGACGAGAGGGAGAATTGTACGCAAACGGGGGATTCATTCCTTCTATGATTTAAAATCAATTAGACATATAGAGGTTGTTCCAATTTTAAGCTTTTTAAGTTATTAGTTTTTTTTTTAAACAAAATACTCTTAAATTAGTTTTTTTGGACAATTCTGTGGTAATTTTGTTTTGAATTCTGGTCTGAAATTTGAATTATATTTTGAAGGCTATTTTGAATTTTGTTTTGAATTCTGATCTGATTTCTGTTCTAAATTGTGAATTATGTTTTAAATTCTGTTCTAAATTCCTGAAGCAAAAAGTCTCAACGGATTTGAAAATCTCTCGTCTTGGTCATTCCAGTCGGCTCTCTCGGGCTATCCTTCGCCCGTTTTCTAAGCTTTCGTATAACTACTTATATTCATTAAAATGTTAGCAGTATCGCAAGAAAATTCTTATATTATCACGAATTTCGGTGGGAATAGACAAATTGCGGAATCGTCATAAAACATTGAAGCAAATGCGGAAAATTCGGACCTCCGGAATATTCTATAAATGATAAGAATAGCCATACGGGTAGCGGGAAAAAATCGAGAATATCCATCCGATTGATTCCGGCATATTAATAATTCATAGAGGTCCGAACCTCTGTCAGCTCGACTTGATTATATTGAACAAAATATGGCGGAGATTAAAGTTCGAAAACCGGGGAATAGATTACCAGAAGGCTGTCGGTTTTCCGCATTAAAATGTATGTTTTGCTCAAGAAAGTTCACGTCAAAGAAAATCCTTCCCATACAAAGTCTCGCTCAAATAATACTTCATTATTACTTCGTTAGATTCGGAACGATCGTTTTATAATTCCCGATTTATTTGTAATGATTTTTCTATTTAGCCGGCTAATTTTCGCCGGAGCGGAAACTCGGATTCGAAGTTTCCGATAGCGCATAGAACGTCAGTTTTTCCTCCCGTTCGGCGTGTGCGTCCCGATGAGAAATGGATTCGAAATAAAGGGGGAGCAATAAAAACGTTGAAAACACAACAAAAGCGAACTTCTTCTGCTTGTAAATGCTATTTCGCGGTTTTTGTTACACCGCCCGCCTTTCAACATCGTCAAGTGAACGATAAAACTGTTTCAATCAGTGGATGTCTGTTGGAAATGTTGAGATGAAAACAGCGTCGTCTGCCGGAGCATAAAAACCCTTTTCCAACATTATAAACCTTTAAAACTCCTTCAATAGTTTACTCAACAATTAATGTTTGTCCAATTTATAGACGTATTCCGAAGGAAACGAGGTGGGCGTATTTTGAATTCATATCATTTGTATGTTAGACGGAATTTAAAGTCGGATCCGGTTCTGTTAAGTAAAAAACGTGAATTGTTAACGGAATATGGCGACGTAAAAACCCCACATTAACGGCCCGAAAACAATGGGAACGTTTTATAATGGACGATCCGCCACTGCGTATCTTTCTCATCATCTTTCGAATGAAACTTAATGCGGCTCCGCGAGCTTTTAAATTTTGAAGGAAATTCGGCACAATGGAAAGAAGTAGACAATTGGTATTGTCGCAAATGAATAAATAGAAAGTTCTTCTCGTATGTGTTATTACGAGTAACTTGAGACTTGATGAAAATATTTCAAATTATACGTTAATTTGACATTTACATTTGCGCTATTTTTACGTATTCGTTTACAAAAGAAATTTTCTACTCGAGTTAAAATCGAGTTAAAAATATGAAATTTTAAAAGCAATAGAGGCCACTTATTAGATTTTATTAATCGTTAGATTGCTGTAAAAAACGAATTTAACGTAGCAAAGCACTTCAAGGACTAAGTAGCGAAGCGAAAAAAAACCCTTTGGAGAATACCTAAAACGGAAGAAAAAAGGTTTTTTCTTTGGGGACTTTTATTTGTCAAGTTTTTATCGGATTTCCGGGGGAAAGCTCCGAGTGGTTAAGTATTATTAAAGGAGATCAGTACAGGGATTAAATACACCTTTCGGGATAAGGTGCAAGCGGAATTTAAAAAAAATACAACCAGTAAGTAGTTGATAAAATATTAATACGATCAAGTATATTGATTGCACGAAGCAATTACAAGATGTTATTTAATTCGGTGCCGATATTTCAGAATGTGAATATTTGGATGGAACAATTTTAGAAAAAAATAACTTTTCTATTGTAATTTTCTTATTACTCCCTTATTATATCATCACTAATTTTTCTAAAACGGTAACACCTTGTAACCCGAAAACTAAGAGGTTTAGGAAATATATTGATATAAACATTTCTTCTTAAAATCTAAATATTCACACCCTGAGCATCGGCACTTAATTAATTAACACCCTGTATACCAATAAATTTTTGATACATACAGTACGATAAGAATAGCTGAAGACACGATAATGTGTTGACAATGTTTAATTATCACACTGTATAAAATATTTTAAATTTTCTTGCGTGATTGATAAATCAAAAAGACTGCGACATTTCCTAAAATCATTTCTCGATACTGGACCCATAAATTGAACCTACAAGGTGAATGCGAAACCTCCAGACATCGGTTTTTTATCTAGGTTAAACGAATTTGTACCAAATTGAACCGTCTACGCCCTTATTCGATAACCAGTTCGAACGATTAAAATTCGAACGAGATCGCTGAATTATGAATTATTACAACAAAGTCGAGTAAAAGTTATAATAAGTGTTCGCGAAGTTGTTGTGTTGCGTAAAACACAGTTATAAATTATAATGCTTTCCGAAGACAAAACCGCCCCGAAAATTAATATTTCACTCACCCTCGGCGTCGCTAATTGCGGCCGCTGTTGCCATGTCGGCGCGCGAAATTCCAATTTCACTTGCTTTTCAATTTTATTAATTCGAAAACGAGTTACACGCTCCGCCGGAATATTTCAGGTTCACCCTCATATTTACAATGAGACGAATTTCCGCTTTGAATTTATTTATAGAGCAATTATTATTATTTTGTGTGTGTGTGTGTATGCGTGTGTTTAACGCTACGACAACGATTGCGCGATATTTCGAGAGCCTTTGGTTGATTAAATTCGGGAAAAATTCGATGTTTTTGATTAATTCAGTAACGCTTTTTTCCTATTGCTATAAATGCGTTTCATGCCATTATTGTTACGCGGTTATTAGTGAGTAATGTTTAACAATTAAACAGCTCGTGTAACTGTTAGTTATAATGAAATTATTTATGTAATTCGAAGCGTGAATATTCGGTGATAAATAATAATCAAATAATAACCGAGTGTTTTATTCAAATTTTGCTGGAATTAGCGAGTATTCAAGGAGAAAATATGTTTAAAAAATGAAACTAGAATTTGCAAGTGTTAAAATAACACATTTTTTATTAAATTATTATGTATGCTGGAAAAGATTGAAAAATATTGGTAAAATATTGTTGGATTTCATCCGAGACTTGGAATTTCCCAGAGAGGTAACTCAAAACCGGTAAAATATGAAGGCGATATATTATATTCCTGTTTCTTAAAATGTCACAAGCAGAATAAAAGAATCTAAAGAATTAATTGAGGAATGTTCGCTGAATAACAAAATTTTATGGTAATAATGCCGACTTAAAATTCAATTCAGATATACATTTTTATACAATAATAATCTTTATGAAATATATTTTCATTATTAATTTAATAAAATTTTATACAACTCCTTTTTTCGTCCTTTCCACAAATTTGCCGTAGTACAAACGAAATAACATATTCATTATTAATAATTAGTAAAATCCTTTTATTTTTATAGTGTTAATTAATAAATACAAACAAATTAAATATCATAAAATTAAAATAAACTACTTAATAAATCGTACACTAAATTTTCTAGTAAATTGTATCCTCGTTATCAATACCGGTAACCGTAACCGTAAGGGTAGGCTCCGTAACCATAGCCTCCGTAACCGTAACCGGGATAACCGTAGCCGGAGTAACCGTAGCCGGGATAACCGTAGCCGGAGTAACCGTAGCCAGGATAACCGTAGCCGGAGTAACCGTAGCCGGAGTAACCGTAGCCAGGATAACCGTAACCGTATCCGGGGTAACCATAACCGTATCCACCGTAGGGATATTGTCCTAAAATTACAAGAAATTTAGACCATTTTTCGATACATAAAGAAGTTATTTGTTGTGTTGGAAATATGGTACTTACTTTTTGGTCTAATTCCTTCAGTTTCCTTGGATTTTTCTGCTAAATTTTCTGGTTTTAATTCGTCGAAATTATTTTGTAAAGTGAGTAATGTTGGCTTAACTTCTTCGGGTTTCTTATCGGCCAAACAAACTGCTGCTAAGCAGAGTACTGCACAAATAACTGTCACTTTCATGGTTATAATTGTACTGGTTTTTTTTTAAATTGTAGAAGATATTTGAATTCGAACTTCGAGTTGAACTGATTTCCGAAATTCGAAATCCACCTTTTATAGTAAAAATTTTTGTTATTGGGACGATTCAATGGGTTTATTTGTTGTCTAACGAAACGCAATTAGTCTTGTTTAGCATAAAGATTTTAGATAAAAATAGCAAATTGTTTAATTAATTTTTAGTATAATTGCATTTTTATTGCACATTTGAATTGTAATAGCGAATTAGGCGAGAGATAAACATGTTTTTTGGAAGAATTTCAATTACAATTTTTGAATTAACTGAAAAAGTTTGTCAATAAAGCAATACTATTAATTGACACTTACGAAATTATAAACAAAATACTTTAAGAAACATCTTCCAAAACAATCATTATTCTTCAGTATTTTGAAGTGAACAGTTTGAAATATTTTTGAGATTTAAAAATGTAAGTATCACAATATCTTTAACAATATTCAGGCTTTATTTATTTAATACCCAAGCGATTTCCTTCGAAAAATTATCGTAATATAACGAAACCTCTTAGGATCGAGAACGTCGTCAAATCGACGAGTATAACCACATATTCCTACACAAATATATTCAAATGATAATGAAAGTAACCTTGCGAAAATCCATATCATTTCAATAACCGACCATTTCTTGTCGTCTTCCAAGTTTTTCGACACTAAATATTATGTAAATGTTTATCAACGAATGTAAATCTTGCCCGAAACTCGTATGGGAGCGTCGCGGAATTCCTTATGAGTGGTCATGAATGAATGGAAACGGATAAATGTAATTCCATTTTTCCGACTTCTCCTCGACCGTCATTGAATTCTCAATGTTTTTCGAATAGCACGATGCCGAAGAGCGAGCTTCGAATGGGGAGTTTCGGTGAAAATGCACCGGGAAATACATATTCATGAAATAAAAGAGTTTGTTTTCACGGCGTACTTGGTGGAAATAGAAAATATAAAATTGAAGAGCATATTTGGTTTGTTAAAACATAATCAAGCGAATCTAAAAATAACTTGAATTTTATGAAAAAACCGTAACAGGTGTAGTTTTTTATTGAATTAAAATATAAAAAAATGGAAGCTAATTAATTAGGAAGTAAAAAATTCTTATTGATTTTAACATTTTTACATAATCAGTTTAATCAATGTCATCCTTATTTGCCAATGAATTAATTTTATTAACTCGACTCTAGATATGCGAATAAAAATATCACGAGTAAGATTTCTTACGATAAAATAATTTGATTTTAAATTAGGTATTTTACACGCATAATCTACACGATTAAAATTCTCCACGCTCTTTAAAGAGGATTTAAAATCGTGTTTGTGTAAATTCCAAATTATCATTCGACAAGTTAAGATTTAAAAACAAACAACTCGACTTCGCTAGCAGAAATCCAGAGACTATTTTACCTCGTTTCAAAGCTATTTTCTATGTAAATTACATCCGGAAAAATATCGCCGCGATATGTAAATGACAATACTATAATTTAATTTTTATGAAACTAATTCAATTTACTTGAAATACGGCCGGGAAATGCGGCATAGGCTCCGTAAATAAATTGCGGCATAATTACTACAACCGGTATAACTATGGAGAACTAAATAGTAAATCATATTGCAGATAATGCGAAAGCCGAGCGAGCTTTTACGAGTTTCAGTACAGCAGGTAATCCTGTCACATCATCCATTTACTTGATGTATCCCGGCTAAATAGACTAACTTTGCGAATCGATAAGGTATTAACAAGTTTTTTTATGAAGTCTGCTTCCCCCGTATTAATGAACAAGATACAGATCGATAGAAATAGCTGATGATTATCTAGTTCGCGCATCTAGCGTCTCTCGCTACATCCTTCGAACTGTAGGCGAAAAAAATCAGTGCGTTGACCCACGAAATGAAAAATCGCGGCGATTTCCAAACCGATTCGACCGTCCGATAAATAAATCACCGATCATCAGGGAGACGCAAGGTTAAAGTACCGGTCTTTGCGGAAAAAATCCGGCCGGCTCCGGTATATAAAAGAATCGAATGAACCATCCGGACGATTTAGTGTAATTCGACTTCGCGCCCAAGTTTTTCACCATGCGGGGTCTCTTCGTTTTTGCGCTGCTTTTGTGCTCCGTCTTGGCGCGACAAGTCCCGACGCCCGAAGAAGATGCTCGCGTAGCATTAGACGTTCGACCCGATACTATACAGGGCCCGAATCCGGTGAACGTGGTGGCTGAAAAGACCGATGTTCAGCAAAGAGATGATGGAAATGTTAGAACGAAACGCCACGGTAAGTGTAATTGCTAGCGCAGGAATTAACAACATAATTATGTTATGTTTCGTAGGTTTGGGTTTAGCTCTCGGAGCGGGTTTGTTGGGAGCCAAAGCGCTGGGAGCCGGAGTGATAGGAGCAGGAGTTTTGGGTGGAGCCGGAGCTTTAGGAGGAGCGGGACTCCTGGGGAGCGCTGCTCTAGGTCTAGGAGCGGCCAAAGTGGTTGGTCTTAAAGCTGGGTTAGTTGGTGGACTAGTCGGTGCTAAATTAGGAGGACTTCACGGAGGTGGGTACTACGGAGGCGGTGGATACTACGGCGGCGGATACGGAGGTGGATACGGAGGTGGATACGGAGGTGGATACTACGGAGGTGGTCCGACTTATGTCAGATACGTAGAAAGGTATGCATAATTAAAGTATTATACAAGAATCGTTTGAGATATTTCATTCAATTTTTCAATGTATCGAAGCTCGATCGAGTGTTTTTTTTTACTGAAATAAAATTTACTCTGGTGCAGGCCGGTTTCATTGATTAAAGGATTTGAAGTTATAAATATTGCCACATAGTATTCCCGCAACGTTCCTCGAAATTACACAATATCAGTTTGGTTTCCTGAAAGGAAACCAGTTTATTGCGTCCGGTTCCGTTTTTCATTTCGAAATCAATAACCTTCATTTTTCCGATCTTCCTCTTCGAGTTCGCTTCACATATTTTCGGATTGTTCTTTCGATTTTAATTCGACTGGCGTTTGTGCGATTTTATTAGAAATTCTAGCGTAAATTCTATTGGAATAAAAAAAATATTTAATTATTTTTAGCCCGGCTTATTACAGTGGAGGAGGAAGTGGATGTGGAGTTTGTGGACACGGACACGGAAGTTATTCCAACGGTTATAATTATGGATATGGTTCTGGATGGAATCACGGATCGTACTAAGTGTAGTAAAATAGTTCAAAATGCCAATAAATTATGTATAAGATAATTTAGAGTTTACTTCAACCTTATAGGACTTGATATTGATGGAAGCTCTCCAAATCTAAGTATAAATTTACAGCATAATAACTAAAATATTGAGACATTATACAACTAAATTGAATCTAAAATAATTAATGTATAATTCATCAATTCTCCCAACATTTAACAGGCTATTGTTTTCGATATATTAAATGTTAATGGGGAACATGTTCAATATTTGCTGTTCACTACTAAAACTCGTTACATAAATGGCCCTTTTGAATTAATTTGTATAATGTACAAGACCGTAAACAACCTAAAAGCAACAATCTCGTGAATAAATTAAAAAGGGGCATTATTTTGTAAGTTTGCATGTAACAAAAACTATCATATAAGTAAAAAAAAAAACATAAAAGTATCATAAAATATCATAATATATCAAAATCAATGCGGGTATAAGATTAAAGTTTTTTAATACCCAAAGTGTAATACAATTCCATTAAACAATATAATATTTATAACTCTACATTATGTTCCGTTGCTTTAGTAATTTTATGCGTTGCGAAAAAGTAGTAAAATTTTAGAGAGTTTTAGTATAGAGCGATATTTTATTACTTATGCTAAAGCGAAAACTTTTTATTAACAAAAACTCCTGCCCTATTTCTCGACAATATTAAGCAACCTACATTCGTAAATGGAACGGAATTTATCACCGGTCAAAAATTGATCAATACACTAGCCTCACGCACCCTTAAAAATACTCAGCTATTCCCATAAATAATACCGCACTGTACACGGAATAATACAATTCATAATTTATTAGTCTTACATGCATAATTAAATATTCATTCCAATCAAGGAGCATTCCTGGTATAGTACATCCAAACAGTCTCAATCGAATATGTCCACAAACTGGTAATGGTACAATCAAATTGCAATAACTATTTCATTAAGAAAGTAATAATAGGGTGAGTTTGTAATGTATAGAGTGTAGAGAAGGTAAACAGTTTCACTTATTAAAGTAGATGTGATTCGATGAGGCTTATCGAATAGGAGCAATTAATAAAATTAATATTCAACGGTTTTAATTGGTGTCTTTTGAGCTTCTGTACCAATCGATAAACCATTAAAGCAACATGCAGTCCAGCAGCTTTTCGAAATGCGCATTTCTATTCGGTAGACAATGCGCCGGGAGTACGTACGGTCGAATTTAATTTACGAAAACGCTCCGTTTTTTTTTATTTACAACAAACCGCAATTTCGGCCAAACCGGAGGAGTGAAACATAAATTAAGTTTTCGTTTCGTTACATTTACATTCTTCCTCATTACGTCGCGGGCGGGCCTTTTTTTCCTGATGCCTCGGCGTCGGGATCGGAATTCCCTTCGAGGAAAACGGCCGGATAATTTTCTTCAACAAGTCGCCGAAAGTTTCGACGATTCAATTAATCGCGCGGCAGTCGCCGAGCAATTATTCCTGCTGCCGTATACACGGTGACCCAAAACAGGACGTTCTAAACGAGCCGTTTTCGGTTCGTTTGACAAACGATTTAGCCAGCACGAATAGGTACTAAGGAAAACTCATCAAATCGAAAAAAATGATTTGAGTACAAATGCGAGGGTAAGGTGAAAAGTTCTCTGCTTGATAATAAAAGTCCGCGATTTTTTACGCCTTTTTTCAGTTTTTTTCGTTCAGTTTTTAAGTTCTTTCTTTCAGTTCTAAATGATTCTGGAGAGTTGTAAATGGTTTTGAAGCATTCTAAATGGCTCTAAACAATATATACTAATTGATTCTGGAGCGTTTTAAATGGTTCTAAACGCTTCTAATTGATTCTGGAGGGTTCTAAATGGTTCTAGATAGTTCTAATTGGTTCTGAAGCATTCGAAATGGTTCTAGACCGTTTTTTAATTATTCTGGACTGTTTTAAAATGGGTTCAAACAGTTTTAAATTATTTTGAAGCTTTCTAAATGGTTCTAATAAATGGTTTTGGAGCGTTCTAGACATTTCTAAACATTGTTCTAAACATTTCTATAAGTTTCTAGAGCATTCCTAACGGATCTACACAGTTCTAATTGATTCTGGAGCGTTCTAAATGGTTCTATACACTTCTAAATAGTTCTGAAACGTTCAAAATAGTTCTAGACAGTTCTGAATTATTCTGGACGTTCTTAATGATTCTAAAGCGTTATTCGCAAATCATATTAATCGTTTATAACGTTATCTTCTCCTGCATTTTGGCATCGAGCTGGTCAAAAATGTCGGAGTAATATTGTTAATAAAATGTGTCTGTTGTTGTTGAATTATTATAAATGATGTCAAGTTGCACACCAATGTACAAGGTGTGCCAATAATAGTACATTTATATATTTCACATATCGAGGATATGTGTGCAGTTAATTCATAGTGAATGAACGGCGCCCGGCGTATCATTGCCAATTAAATTCGATGCAGTTTCATTATGTCGCCGGCGGAATTAGCGAAAATTCGTTCCGATCGGTGTACAGAGAGACACGAAGAGTAAAGCGAGAGTAACGAAATAGAGACGCACGCGGACAGGGCGGAAGATAAACGAGGTGTCGTAGATCTCGTTGGCGGTGACAAGCGGGCACAATTGAATTAATCACTAATCTATTCAACCGCTCCATGGCCACGCAATCGGTCCACGCACTTCGTTCGTTTGATGTCCGATAAATTCAATTTCGGATATTATTCGGCGCAAACATCGATTTATGATCTTCCCGTCCGGATCGTGTTTCTATTGTCGCATCCTTTCGCGATACAAATTCGATTCGGATTAACTGCTTTTTTATTCATTAATACCTACACCCGGTTGGCTTAAAATCGGGCGGTTGGTTCGATGAATTGTTTAACGAAAAAAGGACGGAGAAAAATCCGGGTTTGGATTTTACTTTCGGAATATCAAGATGTATATAAGGGAAATTTAGTAGGAGACCGGCTTTGCGAAGATAAAGAGCCGCGTGTATGCAAAATATATAGTAATCCTACTACCTCCATAAAAAGTTTTTATATGATAGAAAACCTTTTTACAGCCGGGGGTCGGTAATCTCCAATAATATTTTAGTAAAGGTTACGACCTTTCGAGCTAGTGCTTCCATGCATGCATGCATATACCTTATCCCCGTTTCCCCTTTTCTATCACCATATAGTAAGTTCCAGTTTCCAACAGGCATTGTATATCTACAGTCGGTGCAAAACAAATATCAATGCATGTCACCTATAATTTATTACGTCACAAGTAGGCAGTGTTGCTGAACTTTTATATAGTTTACAAAATCTAAGAATTTTCTAAAATTCTGGCAAAATGGCAAAATGACAAGAATTACTATAATTAATCATTAAATTCCTTTATCATCTGAAATATATTTAACAGTACAAGTAAAAAAAAAAATTATACAATTGACCCTTAAAAGAGTACATTTCATAAAAGAGTGAAATTTCCGAGAAAACTTCTGAATCTAAATTTTTTAGAGCTCAAATTTTGTCATTTCTAACATGTGGTAAAATTCTTGTTCGACTGTAGTGACTTGCATTAATATTTGTTTTGCACCGACTATACACAGGAAACAATTCGTTTTCTCATAACATTACTCCTCCTTTTTTCAATGTTTATATAACAAGTTAAATTAGCAAGAGAGCATTTGCGAAATTTTCAGTGAATTATCAATAAAGCGAGCCTATTTGCTGCGAAAGCACGAAACTTATATTAAATTCATTTCCCGCCGAATTAACTCGAAGTTCAGCGCAAAAATTTCTTGGATGAAAAATACAAAAAAAAATAAAAACGACGACTCCGCAATTGAAAATAATGAATAGCGTTCGCTCAGGTACGAAAATAAGCCATGCACAATTGAACAAAGGTAGCAAAAGAAACTAAAAGCAAAGCCGAATGACTACGCAGTTGAAATATTATAGTCAGCGAAGTTATGAGAATAAAAGGACTTAGTTGTGGCATTCCCGCAATATACGAATGGTAAATTAAACGACGTATAAAATTAAAAACATAATGCAAAGAGTCGCAACCGAGCGAGAGTCCGAAAAAATGTACGAAATTTAATTCACAAAAGAAGAAAAATGTTTCATAATAATTGAAATAAGAAATTGCTTTTGCTTATTCCAAAGTTGGTTGGTAAGATAGAAGTAAGTTTATTTGAGATAATTTAAATTGATAATGATCCCAGATAGAAACTACCGGGTTAAATTGTTTAATCGATTGCGAATAAAAAGCTAAACTAATTTACGTATTAAACCAACAAATTAATTCCAAAATTAGCAACTATTTTCTATTAACTTCAGCGAACAAATCCCCAGTAACGCGCCCATTCGAAATAAAAATGCAAATTTTTAAGTTTCCATCGGTTCGGCTTTTAATTTCGCCCGCGGGACGATGAACTGATAGAACATTCGGCGAAAAATAAAAAAAGTAAAATAAAAATAATTACAAGCAAGCATACACGGGAACAGCTTCGGGGATCGTGCGCGCTCGGCGGCGCTTCGTCGCGCTTCGGCCCGGTCCCGAAAGCTCTCTCGCGCGGAGCTTGGAGTCCTGCAAGCAGGCTAGTCCCGAAGCACGAACCGACTCGTCGAAACGGGGGAGCGCGCGCGGACCTTTCCTGCTGTGCCTGTGTCGCTTTTGTATCGGCCTTTTCGATATATCCGAATGGCCGTGATCGGTATTTGTTGATGGAGATATACCCGCAGGAGTCGTCGAGATGCTCATGAATTTGCATTATCCTCGCAACGCGTTCGATTGTTAGAAACTTTGTTGGGAAGTTGTTAAACTTCGCTTGGATTACGTTCGAGTTTTTAATTGTTTACATGTGGATTAATGAGTGGTTGATTAATTAGTTGTAACAAAATGCCTGCGAACTTTGCGGCGTGGGTTTTATTCGCCTCGATTTTCTGTTTTATGATTCGAGATGGTATACTTAATCCTTCGCCAGCTAAAAGGAGTAAGTATATTTTTATATTTATTTATAGTAACTACCT